CATATCTAAGATATAGTTTCCAGGTAGCGTGGTGTTCGAGACGTCTTTCCCAGGCATATCTTGCAGGTATTGTGATACCGAAGGCAACAATGGTATGGAATGCAAACCCTTTGTTGGTAGTTTTTTGGCGTTCCTTTTTATGCTTAAATAAACGTTACGCCATTGCATTAGCTTCCTTATTTTTGAATAACGATTGTTGAAATAAAACAAGCAAATGGTTTAGGAAGCTACTTTTATATGATACATACTGGTCTTGTGGTTGCTTTAATGAAAATGATATGCCTCCTGCTTCGGTGGCAATGATAAAACTCCAAATTATCTTTGAATCAGTGTGATAAGCATCACCCATTGTCTTCAACACAGAGATGTCTCGCACGTACACGCCATTCAACCATCTCTGCTTTTAATGTCTATTAGATTTCTCCAAGACTATTTAGCGTAGCAATAGAGAAGAATAAGTTGCTTCCTATACGCGCTCTAAAGTAAGCAAGAATTTTCTTAATTCTGTGCAAGTACTTACACTATTCGAGCGAGTCTCAATTCTATCTGTCGGATACGATGGATATAAATGATTTTAGATTTATGCCTTTCTCAGTCTCAAACACTTGTCGCAATACCACTTAAATGTGATATTTCAAGGTCACTCGTGACTGCTTTTCGTTATTCTGTGATTACCAAACATCTGCATAGTGATATTAGGTTCCTGAAGGTCGAACAAGGAATACAATAAATGATTTACAAATTTGACTCAGAACGCTGGTTACATGCATAACAAAGGCTATTGCAGACCGAAACTATTGATTTTAATTCTGAGTCAAAGGGAATCCCAGACACTCCTTAATAACGGGATAATCTAGACTTATATTTGAAATAACGAAAAAGGAAGTAGAAATTGCGAAAGAAGCAAAACAGGATAATCTAGACTCTTACATTTGAAATAACGAAAAGGAAGTAGAAATTGTGAAAAAAGTAAAGACAGGATAATCTAGATTCTACGTTTGAAATAACGAAAAAGGAAGTGGAAATTGCTAAAGAAGCAAAACAGGATAACCTAAACTCTTACGTTTGAAATAACGAAACGGAAGTAGAAATTATTCACACGAAATGACCCAGCCAATAAACGATCTTTCTTTTCTCCTTAGATATCACACAACATCTGCTTATTTCCTTCTGTGAAACGACCAGTGGCTATGACCAGTAATGTGCCGTTGTAACTGGTTCGGTGGAGGGTTTGGTGAAAAAGTGCGAGATATTTCGGTTAAAAACTTTATCAGTTGAGTAGTTTGACTTGGACGGTTTGGGACGGAGGGTGAAGTTGGCAGGTATAAGCAGAATGAGTGATACACACACACACACACACACACACACACACACACACACACACACACACACACACACACACACAACACACATCTTTATATATAATATATATATATATTATATATATATATTACACACATACACACACACAACACACACACATTAACACACACACACACACACCACACACATATATATATATATACATATATATATATAACACATATACATACATATATAAATTTGAACCATATATATATATACATATATATATATATTATAATATATATATACACACATATTATGTGATATATTGCTGTGTGTTATGTATGTATGTATGTGATATATATTATATATATACACATATATACTATATATATATATATATATAATATATATATAGTATGTATATATGGTATATATATGTATATATATATATATATATATATATATATATATATTATATATATATATATACACATCATATATATATTAGATATATAGATATGAATTATATATATATATATATATATATATATATATATATATATATATATATTATATATATATATGTATTTATATATATATATATGTATGTTATACATGCATATATACACAATATATATATATATATATATATATATATATATATATATATATATATATATATATATATATATATAATGAAGGAGAAGATAGTAGTCAAGTGGCGGGAGTAAAGGAAGGCGGGGAATGAACACGCGCTTCTTCGTTTTTTCTTCGGCGTTCAAACCTTATATTTATGTCACTGAATAATATAAAAAAATCTTAGAATCTTCCACGCAAACAAGCATGTGCCCGTCTGCCGGCAGAGTTAAATTTATATCCTATTTACCGACAGCTGTCACACGTATTTCCACAGAGTTGAGAGGGTCACAAGTCAGACTCATGGAACAAGAAGGAAGGAAAAAATGTCCACCACATGGCCATGGTAGCAGCTCATCCCCATCTATTTCGGTTTTGTGAGAAATACATAATAGGCCAGAATATAAGTAGCTCGCAAGGGGTATTGAATTTCATTGTATCCGTTCCTCCATGAGACGATCCTGAATTCCTTTTAGTAGAGTCGAACTCTTTTATTTCTTTTTTCTTGGGAGTTAACAATCCTCCACAGAAGAATTGAATCCCTTTCGATCCTGTTCCAGCGCCGTCACTTGTCTTATTCATAGACGCAGGAACTAAACATCACTCGCCTCCGCAGACAGCAGCTCGCCTGATTCCGTTGTCGAGGCTGATATTCATTTGCACAGAAAAGAGAGCGTGCAGAGACCAAGACAAAGGTAAAGATAAGAGCAAGAGTCGAAGAGGAGGAGAGGAGAGCAGGAAGGAAGGAGAAAAGGAAGTGTGAGAGGCGTTTGGTCGATGGCGAAGACAAGATGTGAGTGTGTGTTCGTATTGCATCACGGGCGGCACAAGGATGTTATCCCGTTGCATAGAATGATCTGTTAGTGATTTAAAAGTGTCTTGATTTAAGGATTTTCGATGAACTGGATCCCCTAAATGTCCGTCACGAGTGAGATGTCTTGATTTTATATTGAATGAGTTCGAGAAAATGGAATGACTTCCCTCCGTCTTCTCGACTGAGTTCAGTGATCTTGTTTCGGCTTTGGTGTTCATCTCGTCATATATTCATCTCTTTGTGCGACTGTCATGTCATAGTGAAAATCATAGTTTCCTGTGTGATGGAGAATGGAATGAGATTTTGGGTAACAAAGGAAATATTGGTAGCTGATGATAATTTAGTTTAGTGTATTATATTTAACATGATGATACAGTTGTGCAGCAAATTACATATTCTTAATTTAAAGTTATTTTACAGTGGTAGAAGTGGAAGAAGATCAGCAAAGGGGGCACTATAATCTTAATATTTTGTTTAAAAGAACTTGCAATAATTTTAGCAACTCCTTAAGATGTGCATTTGATTTTAATTCTTCAGCAGCCCTCTATCTTTAATTTTTTGGGGTTAAGCAGGTTAGCAATAACTGCCGACCCAATAATAAAGTAACCTCTCAGTCAACATTTATATTTGTTTTGACTTGTGATTAATAGGTAATAACCGTATTACAAAGAAAATGTTGGCAGTAAGATTAAATTTATTAAGTATTAAG